ACCTCGATGGTCATGAAGGACAAGTGGTCAAGAGGGACCTCGATGGTCATGAAGGACAAGTGGTCAAGAGGGACCTCGATGGTCATGAAGGTCCTCAAGTGGTCAAGAGGGACCTCAATAGTCATGAAGGACCTCAAGTGGCCAAGAGGATCCTTGATAGTCATGGAGGACCTCAAGTGGTCAAAAGGGACCTCGATGGTCATGAAGGACCTCAAGTGGTCAAGAGGGACCCACGTGTCCAAGGAGGATCCAGGTGGCCAAGAGGAACCTTAATAGTCATGAAGGACCTCAAGTGGCCAAGAGGGACCCACGTGTCCACGGAGGATCCAGGTGTCCAAGAGGGACCTCGATGGTCATGAGGGACCCCAAGTGGCCAAGAGGGACCTCGATGGTCATGAAGGACCCACGTGTCCAGGAGAAACCTTGATGTTCATGAAGGACCCAGGTGTCCAAGGGGGACCTTGATGGTCATGAAGGACCTCAAGTGGCCAAGAGGAACCCAGGTGTCCAGGAGGAACCTCGATGTTCAGGAGGATCTCAACTGCCCAAGGGTGACCCAGCTATCTGGAGGCCACCCATGCTATCGAGAAGCACCCACGCATCTAGGGCGGAGCCAGACTTCTGGGGTGGGGGTGGGAAGGGCCTAGACGTTTGGGTGGGGGACCCGGACGTTTGGGGAAGGACCCGAAAGTCCTGGTGGGAACGCAGACGTTCGGGTCCCTCCACAGCTGTCGGTGCACGAGGCAGGAGAACGTCAACTGTTGGTGCTGAAAGGTGCCCCCGAGCGGGTGCTGGAGAGGTGCAACACGGTGCTGCTGAAGGGACAGGAGTTGGCCCTGGACGCCCAGTGGCGGGAGGCCACCCCTGGTTGCCCGCTGAGCCCCGTGGTTGCCCGCTGAGCCCCGTGTCCCCCCAAGGTGTGCCTGACGCTGACGGCCAAGCGGATGGCGCGCAAGAACTGTCTGGTGAAGAACCTGGAGGCGGTGGAGACGTTGGGCTCCACCTCCACCATCTGCTCCGACAAGACGGGGACCCTCACCCAGAACCGCATGACCGTCGCCCACATGTGGTTCGACAACCAGATCCACGAGGCCGACACCACCGAGGACCAGTCGGGTGGGTGGCCGGCACCCTGACTGAGGGACATGGGGTCAGGAGGGACGTGGGGATGGGGGGCCATCAAGATCCTTGAGGGACATGGGGTCAGGAGGGACGTGGGGATGGGGGGCCATCAAGATCCTTGAGGGACATGGGGTCAGGAGGGACGTGGGGATGGGGGGCCATCAAGATCCTTGAGGGACATGGGGTCAGGAGGGACGTGGGGATGGGGGGCCATCAAGATCCTTGAGGGACATGGGGTCAGGAGGGACGTGGGGATGGGGGGCCATCAAGATCCTTGAGGGACATGGGGTCAGGAGGGACGTGGGGATGGGGGGCCATCAAGATCCTTGAGGGACATGGGGTCAGGAGGGACGTGGGGATGGGGGGCCATCAAGATCCTTGAGGGACATGGGGTCAGGAGGGACGTGGGGATGGGGGGCCATCAAGATCCTTGAGGGACATGGGGTCAGGAGGGACGTGGGGATGGGGGGCCATCAAGATCCTTGAGGGACATGGGGTCAGGAGGGACGTGGGGATGGGGGGCCATCAAGATCCTTGAGGGACATGGGGTCAGGAGGGACGTGGGGATGGGGGGCCATCAAGATCCTTGAGGGACATGGGGTCAGGAGGGACGTGGGGATGGGGGGCCATCAAGATCCTTGAGGGACATGGGGTCAGGAGGGACGTGGGGATGGGGGGCCATCAAGATCCTTGAGGGACATGGGGTCAGGAGGGACGTGGGGATGGGGGGCCATCAAGATCCTTGAGGGACATGGGGTCAGGAGGGACGTGGGGATGGGGGGCCATCAAGATCCTTGAGGGACATGGGGTCAGGAGGGACGTGGGGATGGGGGGCCATCAAGATCCTTGAGGGACATGGGGTCAGGAGGGACGTGGGGATGGGGGGCCATCAAGATCCTTGAGGGACATGGGGTCAGGAGGGACGTGGGGATGGGGGGCCATCAAGATCCTTGAGGGACATGGGGTCAGGAGGGACGTGGGGATGGGGGGCCATCAAGATCCTTGAGGGACATGGGGTCAGGAGGGACGTGGGGATGGGGGGCCATCAAGATCCTTGAGGGACATGGGGTCAGGAGGGACGTGGGGATGGGGGGCCATCAAGATCCTTGAGGGACATGGGGTCAGGAGGGACGTGGGGATGGGGGGCCATCAAGATCCTTGAGGGACATGGGGTCAGGAGGGACGTGGGGATGGGGGGCCATCAAGATCCTTGAGGGACATGGGGTCAGGAGGGACGTGGGGATGGGGGGCCATCAAGATCCTTGAGGGACATGGGGTCAGGAGGGACGTGGGGATGGGGGGACATCAAGGACATGGAAGGAGGTGGAGAGACATGGGGACAAGGGGACTGGGATGGACATGGGGCTGGTGGGACATCAAGGACATGGAAGGACATGGGGGGACATGGAAGGACACATGGGGGACACAAGATGGACATGGGGACTGGGAGGGACGTGGGGTTGGGGGGCCATCAAGAACATGGAAGGACACGGGGGGACAGGAGGACACGGGGTCAGGAGGGAGGTGGGGATGGGGGCCCACCAAGACCATGGAGGAACATTGGAGACCAGAGGGGACCACGAGGAACCACGGGTGGCCCTCAGGGCCCCTCTTCGATGGCCCCCGTGTCCCCTTGTCCCCCAGGTGATCATGGTGACCGGGGACCACCCCATCACGGCCAAGGCCATCGCGGCGGCCGTTGGCATCATCTCCGAGGGCAGCGAGACCCCCGAGGAGGTGGCAGCTCGCCTCCGCCTTCCCCTGGAGCGGGTGGACCCCAGGTGGGACCAGGGTGACCACCCCCGGAGGTGACACAAGCATCCCAGAGGGAGATCCATGATGTCCCAACCCGTGTCCTCCTCACCCACCATCTCAGGCAGGCCCGGGCGCGGGTGGTGACGGGGGCGGAGTTGGCGGCCATGACACCGGGAGCTTTGGAAGGTCTTCTCCGCGCCCACCCCGAGATGGTCTTCGCCCGGACGTCACCGCAGCAGAAACTTGTCATCGTGGAGAGCTGCCAGCGGCTGGTGGGGACACCACTCCCTGTGTCCCATGATGTCCCCGTCCCCATACCTCACAGTGCCCTTGTCCCCGTCTCCTACGGTGCCCTGTCCCTGTGCCCCACAGTGCCACTATCCCCGTGCCCCATGGTGTCTCCATCTCTCTGCCCCGTGGTGTCCCCAAGCCCCATGGTGTCCCTGTCCCCAAGCCCTGCGGTGTCCCCATACCCCATGGTGTCTCCATCCCTGTGCCCCGTGGTGTCCCCACACCCCGTGGTGTCTCCATCCCTGTGCCCCGTGGCGTCCCCACACCCCGT